GATGTATGGTCTCCTCCGGTGCTAACACTCGTTTACTTAAGGTAGCGGAAAAATTCTCGGCAAAAGGGAAAAGTAAGAATTACAGCTGTACTGCTACGTCCCATTTTCTGTTGTGAAGCCGTATTTTGTAGGTTATTTTAGTATATTTCATGTTTGCATTTGACGTTACACTCGTACCTTATAGAGTCTCGTTATGATTAGGTTTGTAGATCAAGGTTCATCCGTATTTTGTATCCACAGGTTTCAATTCTATTATTTTCCTTTCTTAGTAGTTTTTCAACATAATTGTCATTTATTAAAATTTGAATGTCAGCCCCTGAATTGGGCACGTTTAGGGATAATCGCTGACCGTGATTGTTACCTACATCAGAGTTCCTGTTTTGGTTTAAGGTAGAGCCCGGTGGTATCAGCTGTCAAGCTTTCATTGGTTTCTTGCTCATGTCATTATCATACCTTATAGGTTTGTTTTTTCCACTTTGGTGATCAACAGGAAATCCCTAAACTCATTAGGAAGGTGCGTTCGTTACTCTCATTGTCAGAAAGCCCGAACGTTAAGTTATTTATTAAGCCTTTTTCGCAATATTTTGCGCAGTTAGAGTGGAGTGCGGTTATGTTGTAGTTATGTTCAGCAGCAGTCGGAAAGTGATGCTGTAGAAGAAACCATATGAGCTGCTGCGAAGAATAAAGAATCCCGAAATGTAAGCTAATGTAAATCAGGGCCGAGTTGTTCAAAGCTGAGTTAAGATAACTCAGGGTTAGTGCGAAATTTGAATTCAGAAATAAAAGCTTAGACAGTAATTTCAGTTTTATTCTTTTTGTCAACAAGTTGATGATTGGATGCTCTTAAAAATAACAGAGAAAATTATCCGAGAAAATGTTTTTGACAAAACGAAATAGAAACCCGGGTAAAATTTAACCCTGGGTTAAGCGCTAATCGGCCTTCGAACAACTGGGCCCAGATACCTGGTACCTCTACGCCAAGCGAGCGAGTTGCTCGAACACCCCTTCATTTGTCATATAAAATCAGCTTGTAACAGAAGGCCTGCAAATTTAAAACTGATTTCTCATGTTACAGATTAATAATTAAAAATTTTACAAAAAATTTCCTGTCCTTGTTTTCAAACCGTTTTCTCGGTGGTTGAAAATGATATAAAATTGCCCTTCTCGTGATCTTTAAACTTCGGCATTGTAAAATTAATTCTTTGCATAAGATCACTTACTTGCATAATTTAAGTTGCACTCAAAGCCATCCCCGATAAAACCTTGTTGAAGGTCACAAGTGCAAGTGAAGGAACCACGATTATTCGAACAGGTGGCAAAACGATGACAATAATACTTGTCCCTGCTGCACTCATTTAGATCTGTAATGTACGAAAGATACCATGTTTAGTAACTGCAATTACAGCAGCTATCAATTCTTTAATTACCGTATTTATTCGATTTAACGCCGCCCTCGAATAAACGCCACGTCATGATGCGATGTTTATTCCAATAATAGACTCAAAAAGTAAATACATGCAGTAATAATCATGTTTGAGCAAGCCTGAAAAAATTATTTTCTTTGATTTTAACAATGCTTTAAGATCAGGACATTCGAAGCTCAAAGGATTAATTAACTAATTAATTAACTTTATTCACTTTATGTATTCCAGTAGTATATTAACATGCAAATTGTGAAATTGAGAAAGATATAGATAATGACTTTAGTCAGACAAGCACTAAAACATTTTTCTGTTTTTAAAGTTTAAATGCTCAGTTACCATACTATTGTTTGCAAGAAATAAATGGATATTAAATAAACGCCGCACTCGAATAACGAAAAATTTAACAGACGCCGCGGCGTTTAATCGAATAAATATAAGAATTCTTGAATTATAATTAGGAATTGTTCATAAGCTTGTCGTTTACTCATTTATTTCGGTTGTCGTTCAATTTCATCTATGGTTTAATTTCTTTTCTTTTCTTTTGGGGTATGTTATTCAGATATGATAATGAGTTTGAAAAAAGGGAAATAAAATTTAAACCAAGGACAAAATTCAACTACAGCGGGTCATACTCCGCGGTGTAAAAACACGTGAAACTCACGAGTGACGTAGAACAATTAATACAAAGAAGCCACTGACAAGTCAACATAATAGAGCCAAGGGAAATAATTGCTTAAACAAGCATCCTCGCGAGAGGCGCAAGCCTAATAGGGCCGTGCAAGAAAAAAAAAACTCGAATCGATGTAACATATAGTAATGTAAGGCAACATTTGCGACGTAATGCAGAACAGAGAATGCATTATTTTCGAGGGAACACCTGATAGTATAGAACAGAGAATCCACGAGTCGTGTGAGTGCTTGTGAGTCCTGTGTTCATCCTTCGTGTTCATTCAACCAATCATCGGCTGGATTTATTTGCAACATACTGCGGCGTATGGCTGCGCATTTGCCCGCTGGACTTTTTTTATTGCCTGCCGCTAGGAAAAATAACGCCGCGAAATTTTTTGTGTCTTTGAAGCAAAATAATTCGGAATTGTTCATCGGCGCACCATAATTTTTATTTAGCTTTAAAAAGAGACCAAATTTAAGTCTGTACGATGAATATTCGCGGACTTTGATATGATTTTTCAAGGATTCTAAGTTTGCTTATAAGACCACTAAATTTTACCCAAAATGATATGTGCTCAACTTCGGACAAAACCACTAACTTCAATATCTCGAAAAACTTGCTATGTAAAGTCGGGATTTCAAATTCTTTATGCAGTAGAACAGTTGAGCTCACAATATTTCTCATAATGCCATGTGCCGAAGTAATTATCCATTATAATTAATCCTTGTCCTATTGTTGTTTGTCTGTGTTGGATCTTCGATTTTAGTTGCACTTATGTTTGATAATTGTCAAATTTTGATAATTGTTATTTGTTTGTTGTTTAAAACAATTCTAACAATGAAATTAAGGGCCTGTTTACATGGAGTAGGGGACCCCGGTCTAGTGGGGTAGGTTTCTTTTGTTTTGTGTCCCCCAGAGCTTGAAAACAAAAGAAACCAACCCCACTAGACCGGGGTCCCCCACTCCATGTAAACAGGCCCTAACATGTGCAAGGCGTGTAACACTACAAATCTGTATTCTTTATAACCCAGATAATTCAGTCATTCTGCTCAGTACAAGCCTCAGTTTTGAAAGGAGATGGATTCCTCGGAAGACGAAGCATTATCTATCACACAGAGCTCTACGAAAACAGATATTTCAGCTGAAATCGAAGGTAATCGCGTGTAACGTTTAGTCATTTCTGGCAGTGCTTTACTTCTTTATCAACCTCTAAAGGCAGCGTTTCCATTTTCATTTTAAAATAGAGCGAAGATGTAGAACGCCAATTACAGCTTCAGAATTGCGGGAAGTTTGACAAAAGCTGGGTATCAGACGCCAGCCGCCGGAAATGGGCGTGGGTTTTGAAAGTCTTTGCAATGCCGTGGAAGAAGCATAGAAATGAAGCGCTTTTGAAACAAGATTACGATGGCGATCCAGTAATGGAAGAAGATATAGACGAGATGTCAGACGAGTTGTTAGAACAAATTGCACTAAAATTGTTATTTCGTATAAATAAACTTATGACTAAAATGATACAATAAACTGCCCTCCATACCGATCAGTCTCCGTGATTCCATTTATTTTCAGTGTTTGAAAGTTTTAGTTAATTAAAGTGGCACTTAAAAACAAAAAATTGAGTTGCAATGAACGAGAGTTCGACCCAAACGGTGCTGTTGACAACATTCTAAATTATCAGGTATAGTGCAATCTACACATTAAATTTGCTAAAACAGGTTACTGCAATATTTTTATATAAAAATATTGCAGTGTGCAGGCTGCAATATTAAAAATATTGTAGCCTGTTTTATTTAGCCGGTTTAGTATACACCTATTTCAATTAAGGTTGCTTCTGAGAAATTATTAGTGAATTAGGAATTATTAGTGATAGGACTGTACTCATGCTTGAGGTACTGGCCTGGCAGTAGGATGGTATATGAGTGCCCCTTGCTTTAAGGTCGCACCCGTTTCAAGGTAATTTTCGCTTATGCGATCGAATTAAGTTCAATCTATTCTTTATAAATTACTGTAATTCGTGACATTTCTAAAAACATTGAACAGTGCGCGCGTATTGCTGGTTTCCAGAGTCACGCCATTCAAAATAGATCAAAATAAAAATCAAAACCGTTCAATAGATAAAGTCCAGAATCTGGGAAATGAAAGGAGGTACATATACAGAGACCCTTGCCAAGATTCAGGTCAGAGGAATATTTCGTATACGAGATATCCGAAGAAATGTTTTACCCAAACCTATAGAGATTTAAATAGTATAGAGACGCCTTGCTGGTGTTCACCTGGATGAGCTCCAACATGGCGGACGGAAACCAACAGAAACATCTGTTACTGAGTTTTGCTACAGAAGTAGTAGAAGCGTGAATTTTTTTCTTCGAGAAACTCATAATACTTTTTCTAACTCATAATACTTTTTCTAATACATGAACTGTTTAGATAGCAAAATTTCCTGAGATAAGTCATTTTTTTAACCTACATGACAGCTCTCTTGGCCGTCATGTAAATGCCGCGTCTCGCAAAAGTTTAGAAATTCAAGCGTACTTTCTCACAAAACCAAGAACCTTTTTGAAGCGAAAATTTGTATGAAAATTAGTTTTCAGCTGCTCTAATTCATCGTGAAAGCAAAATCACGGTAGGATCGATAGTTTTTTAGTTTGAATTTTAGTGACGTCATGTGAAAACCAACAATAAGTAACAGCTTTGCTCGTTGGCACTTAGCGATAGATATAACTAGTAGTTACAATATAGAAAACAAAGAAAAACTTCACAGGTTTAAACACCAAGGATGACCCACCGCAACATATCCATCAGTTCACTCATTGCATCACTTAATTATTTTTTTTCAACTGTCTTGTTTGTCTCTGTTTAATAACAAGATATCATTTAATCATGTAATTTTCAGAGATAATAATCTCTTTTTATGACCATAACCTTACATGTAAACATACATGAAAAACTATACCTTTCTTGCAAGTATACTGATGATAGTCACTACATTTCACGTCATTCCATTCGTATTTGTATTCAACACCAAGTGTATGTACACAGTCTTCATCTCGAAAATTGTTGGGTTGGTTTTTGGCCCAAGCTGTAAAGTTCCCATTACCACGATCTGCCCAAGTAAAGGAGCCCTCTGTGAAAATATCATTCATTCCCAGCCAGGATTTTGCTCCATTGTGAAGATGCTGTAAAAACACATTTTCTTCATTGTTTTGGACATCAACAAGAACTGAGTTTTCTTGTCGGCATTTAGCCAGTGATGTGGTCCAATTTTGACAAGTCTTACTTGTGAAATAGCAAAAGCCGTTGAAATAGTTCCATCCAGGATCACAAATATCTAACAAAAGGTAAAAAGGGGAAAAGATTTAGATTGCTGATATATAAATTGTTATATAATAAATATGATTATGGTCGGATTGATAGATATAAATTATTCTTAGTGGCACTTTTGTAGGAGTACTGTTGCAAGGGTGATAAGAAAATATATTTAAAAATGATTAACATTTTTTTCGGGGCAACGAGTAGACCATCATCATTATTTTTATCTTGAAGGAGAGTAGGAGTCGTGTCACAATGATAAAAGAGGAATCACTTTATCAAATTAGAGTAAAAATTCTGAAGCAAAACTAACTTTTAACGTTGTTCGATGCATAATGGTTTTCATTTCGGCAACTGAGCTCTTCTGTCATTATGAGTTATTAGGGACCTTAAGATCCGACGACGGCGACGGCAATGAGAACGGCCAAAAAGCAATAGGTTTAATTATAGTAAAACAACAACTATGCACGTGCCATCACGCTTTTTTCTACATTTCTTAGCAGTCGCTACACGACTACAACGTGAAAATGCCTAGTTTCATGTTTTTTAGAGGACGTAAACAAACAACGACGAAATTTTCCTTCTCTTTCTCGGCTTAACGTCAAGGCTCTTAGGAATTCAACTTCAGGAGGAGTAGCGTACTTTCGACAAAGTAAGCGAGATGGAAAAATCACGATGAGGATTGAAAACCCCGAATTCACTTTTTAAGCGACGTTTTACCTGCCGTCGCCGTCCTCACATGTTAAGGTCCCTAATTTCTTTGAGACAAGAACTTCAAAATGGTACCCTGCTGCTAGCAGTAAATGGGGAATCGAAAGTAGAAAATTTGAACAAAAAGCGACTGGAATTTTGTTACTCTCTTGACTCTCACTCGGCATGACTCGCAAACCATATGCTTGTGTTAGTTTAGAGCACTTCCAAAGTATTTATAATTCCTCATGAATCGGGTAAGATGTTTGCTAAAAACTACTTCATAAATGAGTTCAGTACTTATTACAGACCTGTGAGCACAGCATAACTGACGGACAAGGGGTCGTATCTGGTCCCGTATAATTCCTTGACACAGACTCTGAATGCAGAGGTATTCATGTTCTGAAAAAATAAACACTTAACGTAGCTGGTACATTTTATGCAGTTGTAACCATAAACAACTGGATTAACGTGGAGTGAATGTTAGAATAGTCTCTGAAATTAAACCTTTCTCCTACACCTTTTTATGTGACATAGAAATGCAAACAGATTCGCCAACTGAAAACCGTGGTTTGATGAAAGCTTGCAAAGACCGCTAGAAAATTAAAAGATTGGAAGGTTTAGAAATAAAAAAAGTTATAAAAGCTTAAAGAATTAAAAGGTTCAAATGTTATCCAAAATATCCTTTTTACCCTAATAAGGGGTATGATGGTGGCGCAGGAGCTATAAGGCCCAAACAGTTTGATGAAGACAGCAAATGATTTCTTGTTCCATGAAAAAAAATACGGTAACGTTTAAACCCGTACTGTCAGATCTAAAGTTTGAGACCACCGCGGCGCCTGAGTATTTAAAGATATTATTCTAACTTTAATGAATAATACCTACATAATTATATTCGCGATCGAAAACATGAAGTTAGCCAATAAGCAATCTCAAATTTTCTTGGTCCTTTTTTGAGCCACTTCTATTATCGCCTCAAGCGTGACTCCGTTCAGTTTTATCTTTCGTCGAGCTTCGGTTTGAATTTTTTTTGCCAGGACACATCCCTACACATTCGCCCCATGACGGAAACTTTTACCTCGATCCAAGTTGTGATTCCGTTGTGGATCGGTGCTGAATTTCCAGATACTGTCGTGCTGTGATTGGCTGAGACAAGGACTGTCGGAGTCGAGTTATAAGCTCTCGTGAATGTGACGAACTGCCATGGAAGAGAAACATACAACGTTTAACACTGTTTCCTTTAAATGTAGTTACCTTCGGTTGTGTTTATTTTTGAAGTCACGATTGGACAAACAATATTTGCGATTAATTATTTTAACAGAACGAACTGCCCTTTTAATATTTTGATTAACGTTTTTCAAACACTATTTTGTGGACCAGCTTCTTAGCTTTTCTGGTTAATTTGATCTCTACCACGCACAGTGTATAATGACTATAAGTGCTTTGAAGATATAAACAGTGATGTAAGTAAGCTAAATATTTGTGAGGGAAAATCCTGTGAATAGCACGCTTATGCTTATAATTTTGCAAAGAATTCTTTTCTCACCTCACAGTAAGCATTGTTCATTTTATCCGAAGGTGGGTTCGTATTTGGAAAACTTATGACACCATGTTCAGTGAAAAGAGGCTTGTGCAGTTTGGAGAAGGCAAACCAGTTCTGTGAAAAGAGGAAAAAAACAAAAATGATGCCACTCATACTTGTAACAGTTTCGTAATATACCCACAGAAAATTTATTTAAAATCAACTGCATTTTTAAGGCCCTTTCAGTGAACCTAAGCATTTTGAACTCTATAAATTGGTGAACTAACATAATCTCGTACCCAGATCTCACTCTGTTTTACACTGGCCGTGGGAGATCTGGGTACGAGATTAGAATTAACAAAGAGCGCAGAAAGTCAAGGAAAGGATGCAAATCCACAATTTTTTACGACATAGGGGGAATCGCGTAAAAACGTCAGGAAGGGAAACATGGGGAAAAGGCAGACCAATTTGTGTGCTATTTAAAATTCACTCCCTCTGATGATATTCAGTTTTTTTTTTCTTCTTTTTCTTCTTTTCATTATTATTATATTTCTGTTTCTTTTTATGTTTTTCTTTCTGCAGTTCCCTTCTTTCGACTGAACCATCACTCGCCCGGACGATCTTTAAAGCTATCAACGCCATTTCATCTTAACCGCGCTGTTATGGTTAACAGACCAACAATCCTCACAAATTTTGCAGACATTTGCGTTCCAGTTTCTAAGAAAATCACTTAGAACGTACCACAGTGATATCTTGGTGTCTACCGTCAAAGTTTTGCATTTCACGAAGACAGACTTTAACTGAGTCCTTAGTTACGTCTTCAATCCAAATGAGAGCAGCATCATACTCTTTACCAGTCCTCAGGTGCTCTGACGTCACAAGGACTATTGGCGCCTCAGCAAACTTGCCCTGAAGAAAAAACCAAAAAAACACAATAACAACAACTGAAGTCATATTAAGATGAATGTTGCTGCAAAATTACACGCAACTAATCACTGAGTAAGTTCCCCTTCTTATTTATAACCTAACTTTGCCTTGTTATTTATTGTAGCAATCGTCTCTTTTCTTCCTAGTCGTAAAGATCCGTTATTTTTTAATTTAAAGACGGTGTGGATTAAAGCTGTCTGATGAACGAAAGTCTAACATTTGCCTTGGGGACTTGCATCAATTAATCTCTCACCGTAGGAAAAGTCACATCTGCGCATTTGGTACCAGACCACCATTTCTGCAACTCAACCGTTCCCGTCAATCCTTCGGGCGGTGCACCTTGATAAGCCACCCAATCAATGGTGGCAAATGGATTCGCACCTTCTTCTTTCCTCCCGGTTTGCATGACACAGACGGTGAAGTTTTTTGTGTTGATACTTTCTGTCCATGAAGTAACAGCGTCGTGGACTGTCACAGAGTCATTCAGCTTCATGTGATTGACGGTTATTTGAACATGAACTTGTTTATCGGGATAAAACCGGTATGGAGGAAATGTGACTGTCTGACAGTTTGAATCTGACCATTTTGGAACCTGTAACAGATCTATACGGCCCCGTACAATTGGAAAACCTGTTTTATAATAAATTAAGTACTTTAAAAGGAAGCATCATTGTACTCTTTAAGCATTATCGCTAAGGTCGTAGTCAGCTTGCGTTGTAGTGTAACTCTAAGTCAGGTGAAGGGTGGTGACAAAAAAAGCGTGGAAATTGAACTAAAACTAGGCTATAACTTGCAATGTCGGCTACCTTTCAACAACGAAATGTATAGTGGCTGCTTATTATTGCATGCTGGTTGCTGGTTTCAGTGCCCAAGATAAACATATGCCAGTGTAAAGATAAACATATGCAGTACTGGAGGAGGCCAACAAAAAAATTATAAATCAAAAGCGTACCTGATGACATGTACGCGTGGGAGCGCTCGCCACTGCGCGAAATATTTGATTTTCAGCAAATTTACTCAGTGCTAATAGGGTGCAAAAAAAAAGTGCAAAAGAGGCTGAAATCATGGGCAAAGATAATAAATACTGCATTTGCCCTCAAATATGCAACTCCATGTAAACTGGTATGTAAATGTGATATTTACCACCCTTGTCTTTGATTTCCTCCTCTTTTGCACTTTTTTGAACCATATTTGCCCCGAGCAAATTTGTGTAAATCTAATTTTAAGCGATAAAAACTAGATTGCAAGGCAAAAGAGAATAAAAGATCTTACACAGATCAAACATCGGCTATAGTCTGGGCTGCTATATGTTTGTTTGCCAAAGTAGAGAGACGAAGTAACTTGTTACAGCTGTCTATTGTTGCTTAGCCTGCGTGAGGAGCTAGAATTGAGCTTAAAAGTAACGGAAAGTTATAAACATCCTATAGCTAGAAGCCAAATTGAATGCAATTTTGAGCCAACAACTATAATTCTAAGCGATCGAGAGCTTAACTCCCAGACTATTTTATGTGGCATATACACCCAAAAAAATCGTTGAAATCATTTTTCGTTACCTTCACAGCTTCCTGGGTGATAGACCAGATTATTTTCGAGTCCTTTGCAATAGCTTAACTTATGCCAGCATCGGTTGTCGTAAGTTGTTCCGTTCGCAGTGCACACTGGGTCTTTATATGAGGGGCATTGGTCATCGCACTCACACTGAGCGTCATGCGCACTGTAGGTCCTGCAGACTCCAAATCGAGGGCATTGCACATTAAGGCAAGGATTAAGATCTGCAGCAAGAAAAAAAACATAATGTTGAGTAGTTATCCATTCGGAAAAAACATAAATTTCTAACATATTTTTCATATTTGAATTAAAACTAAATAGTAATGACATGTTTGCATACAGGCAACTCAACCTATTATTTTTATCGTTAGAAGACCTTATTAACCATACCGCCATCTTTGCACGCGCTTAAGGCTGATGGAATAAATTAAAGCAATGTTGCGTGGTTTCTCAGGGGGCAAACAAGAGATAAAATCTGCAAATACAAAAAATGCAATAATAATAATAATTCTAGAAATAGTGATCATTACAATAGGAAAATTAATAACAACCTCCAGTAACAGCGTAGCTGACAATCAAGGGATCATGACTCGATCCTAATCCACTGAGGTCTTTAACGCATATCTTCATAGATTCTAATCCAACGTCCTACAGCAAAATGTGATAGCACTCATCAGTTACTAGAAAATCCATAATTTCTTCTTAATTTCTACGACGACAATACAAGTCATGAAATTTACGGATCAGATCCAAATTATCTGTTTCTTATGGCTCTTTCACGGTCCTTTTATCAATTTACTAGAATGTACGGATTACTTCTCTTCCCTTATTGAACAAGAATATTATCCAGTGAGGAAAACCCCATTTCGCGACGCAATTAATTACTGCTGGTTGAAAAGACGTCTGTGGAACGAGTGAAGAAATCCCATAATGATGACTTTGCACTTCCCAGATCAAGATACTGCTCCTGATTGGTCGTGCCGCAATCAGAAGCACTGCATGCCCAGTTGACACATCATTAGTATACAATTTTTGCTATCGTCGTTCATCAGACGTCATTTTGTGGAAAAACTAGTGGTGGCGTAGCGTGAAATGCCGGCTTTTTTCTCAGGTTAGAATAAAAATTCAAACCTACCTCAACCCAGGACGATATTATATTACTTTCTGGAAGACGGCTTCCCTTGACCTGAAGATTATACTCATGGTTTACGGAAAGAATCACAATTGGCGATTTGTAAAAGGTCGTATTGAAAGGTACTTCCTGTAAATAGGTAAAAAAGGAATGTAGGTTAGTAAATGGATGTGAACGCGCTCACTTCTCCCTCTATTTTTGCCCATCGTCTGTAAGGTCCCCGCTTCTAATATTCGCCCACTCAACAACGCGAAATTGAAGTGATTCGAAATATAAAATTCTTGCAAAGTCGCGAAATTTAAAAACCCCAAAATATGCGCACATTCAAGTCGCGAGATAAGCATGTCGCGTTCATCTGGGAATTGCCATTTTGGATACATTGTCGATCACCATGGCCTGGTAAATTTAGGTTTACTATATTAAGTTTTCTCTACTGTGACCTCAACCACTGAAAATGTCCTGTGGCTTGCTAAATGTTCTCGTTGGAACTAAAGTTTTCACCTGACAGAAGCCATAGTTGTTTTTGGCCGATGGATTTCCACTGTTTGGAAAGATTTCTTCTCCAGTTATTGTGAAATTAAGTTGACTGCCATTTCCAGTGAATGCGAACCAGTCCTGTGGACAAGAAAATAATGTTTAATTTGCAAGACCAGTTGCGTCAGGCATCGAACGACACTTCCTTTAACAAGAAATGACTGCATGAGACACGTGAGACAGGACACTGACCTTAATTGTGTTACGAACGATCTAGGTAATTGGTTGTCCGGGCTGCCGAAGTGTGGCAAAGTCAAGTTATTTATTTATTTATTTTTCATCAATATTATAGTTTACTTGAGCATTTTTCTTCACTTACCACAGCTGCATCTTGGTGCTTTCCATCAAAGGGCAAGAATTCCCTTAAGCACACTTCAAATCCTCCAGAATTGACGTTTTCTAACCATAAGTACATAGCGTCATTTGGCTTTGTACTGCGAGTGTACTTAACAGAGACAAATACACGAGGCTTGGAAGCAAAGTTCTGCAAAAAAATGTTAGATATAGGAAAAACTATTGACTAAAAAATAAAAAGGCTTCTCGAGATATAAATCAACATGATCGTATCAATGAAGTGCTCAGCGGCACATACACTTAATTGAAATTAAGGATTTATCAAAGGCTAAGGTGAGCAGATTAATTAAATCTTGACTAGTTGTCTATTTACATGGACTCAATTTTCTACCCCTCTTCACCTCTTTCTACGAAATGTTGAAAAGGTTGTTGAATGCATCTTATTTGGCCCATTACTTAAATAAAGCTACTAACAGCAATGTTTCTGTTCGGCTAACTTTGTTAGGTTTACTGCCAAAAATTTAACATCATTAAATAAATAGACTTCTATTTTCCCAATTCCCTTTGATACATCAATACAATCAAAACGGTCAAGCATTATTCAATCACTACTTCTAAACATAGTTATTAGAGGAGACTGGTTATGAAAAGCGGCAAACATCAATGATAAAAACAATTTACAGTGCTGCAGTTTATGTTAGAAGCACCCAGAAAGCGCACAATCCTTTGTTTTCTGTTGGCAAATTGTTACAGAATAAATTAATGAAACGTTTTTATTGGTCAAAACAATCAAAATGACAGGAATGCTTTTGAACGTTGTGCACTTTCAGGTCCACAAAAACTTATAACAAAGGAGTCTAACGGGTTTCATAACCATTCCACTCAATTAACTATGTTCTAAAGTAAAACGTGAAAATGGCTTGTCTAAAGGCGATAGAAGGAAAAGTTGAATCAAAGCCCGAGAGGAAGCTTAACAAGACTTTTAGCAACGCACTTTGATAGGTCCGATTATCCAATAAGAACAAGTTCCGGATATTGAACTAGAGATCATTTGTTTTAGAACTATACTTTCTGATACTATTTCATTTGTTTCCACTATTTAATTACGTTTTACACCTTTATAACAAAATTATACACTTGTTATCAATTATTGTTATCTAACCTGAGAAAAGGCCACCTTCTCACACTTGGTTTCTGTTGTCCATATTCCACTAAAAGTAACGCTTCCATGCGTTAACATGGGTTTGTCCTGAAATGCTACCCAGTTGATAATTCCAGTGTCATTTGTAGAACCTGTTGAACGCGAGCATAACTGAAATCCAGCTGTACTAATGGACTCTGCCCACACGGCGGAAGGTGAATGAACAACTGAAGACTGATCTTCGTGGCTTAATGACACAAAGACTCGAACCTGAAAAGATAAGCATCAATGAAAATTTGCTGGCGACACTTCAACCCTAGACTACAAGCAGTCTCTCTTTTTTCTTCTACCTTGATCAGTCCGGAATATCCCTAAATTTAAGGACAGTTGTGACGTCATGGAGCTATTTTTCTCGAGGAAAATGGCGGATAGATTACCTAAACCATCACAGTCACCGTTTCGAGACTCTCTGGCATATTTGTAAGACTTTTCATGAGGCATACACAATTTTTTTTAAGTGGACAGCGTATCGAAAGCCATATTGTAAGTGTCTCGTGAAATATTCAGCACATTTTGTGGCTTATTTCTTCTTTTAAACAACACGATGTAGGCGAGGTTTTGGTCGATTTTCAAGGTAGGTGAACAAGTATCTATTATTTTTTGATTTACAGATTTTTTACGTCGTTCTAGATATTTTTGCTCAATTGTCATATCCATTAACGTTTATCACGTTGAATTTGGGGATAGTAGACAACCTAGAAGAGGGTCTGGATGGGGTTAACTGACGACTGACAATTCACAAATAGCCGAAAATTTAACTGACTACTGACATTTGCCTTGGGTTTTACTGTCAACTGACAAAGGACCTGATTGTCCTTTATTTTCTACAAAACTTGTTCTTAAGGCCTTGAATAGCATTGTTCCACTCTTTTCATCGTATAATGTGATCAAATGTACGTTTTTAGGGGTAATCTTAGCGGCAAGACGCTTAAAATATCATGTGTGTCATGTACCATCTGCAAATGACCTATGATTTCAACTTTACGTTTCTCTGAGAACGCGCCAGCATACGATGGCTGCTCAGAATGAGGCCGTTACAAAGGCAATTGCAGGGTTTGTACTGAGATGATTCAGAGACTGTTTTCTTGGTCTTCTTACGATCTACGTCCCAATATTATACCTGCCAGCTTTTTCTGAGTCAAATGCGTGAGATTTTAACCTTGTCATAAACAAGATTTCACGAAACGTCCCGGCGACTTCCAAAGATTTCCGACGAATTACCGAAGACTTTCGAACGTTGCCGAAAGTTAAATGTCCGCAGATGTTCCAGAAGACCTGACGTTTGAGCACTTTCGAAGCTACTTAAAAGACGACACTTTTAGCGTGCTTTGATATGATTTCGTTAGAACACAAAAAAGGACACAGTCATCATGTGTTGAGAACAATTTGTCCGGATTTGAGAGTCAGATGTGAGAAATTGTCCTTGATGCGAGAGATCGAACGTGTTCCACTCCCAGGTTTCACGCAGACATGGAAGAGCCGTGTTACTACTTTTTTTCGCATTAATTCGAGCCTTTGCCTTTTTTCTTTTCAAGGCCAAAACAACTTTATTAGTCTTATGGATATTCACGTCCAACATGCATCTCGCCTCACTTTGCCTAATTTGCGGGGATAAAATTAAAGATCATAAGCGCAAGGTAGTTATTAACCGCTTTGTTTCTGAAATTCACCAAATCAGGAAAGATTTATTGTTGTTGGATTCTCCAAATGTTCATACACAATTAAAAAAACTCAAAGAAAGAAGACAAATTTCAACTGTAAACATGCACTGATTATCTGGGATAAAATTAAAACATTGCTGGTACGACAACAAGCAAAGAAAGCATCAGATGGGTGAAGTCAACACGAAACAACACAAAAAAGCAAACAAGGAAAATTAATAAATTTGAACTACGTTTTATTCTTGTTATGATGACTGGTTCTTTGATTCTTGTTCTGTAGAAGTTAATAGGTAGTACCATTCCTGTTTTGTACGATCTCAACAAATTTTCAAGTTTGCTTCTATCAAAAATTTGCATGCCAAGTCAGTGAAGCCACGACCTCTGCGATCGGTCCAGAATCAGTTCGAACACCCCAATGATTCCTTGCAATGAATAATACTCTTATTCTCTTACATCAAATGTTTTCTTTGAAATAATGTGAAACCTAGCTGAGTATTGTAAGCTTATATTAAAATCTGTCCGACTCCGTCCGCTGTTGTGAAAATTTTTGATCACTTGGTCGATGTTTTGATAAACACAAGCGTACCTTCTACTTGGTTGAACAGTGTCGCGTGACCATTTAGCCCTGTCCTTAATTTAGGGATGTTCCGGACTGCTGATCTGTCTGTCGAGCGAAACACGCGACAAAAACAAATGACCACGCGCGTGACTGAAGGGGCGAGACTGCCACCCTCGTTTCTTGCGCGCGTCTGGTGGTTTCAACGCTCGTGCACGCGTGCACTCCTCACGCTAAATCTGAAGAAAAAGAGGATCTAATTCAACCCTCCATTCCCGACCCCATTCCAAGGATTAAAGATCTTCTAGCCCATTTTTATTGTCAGAATTCTCTGGCTTTTTTGTTTCGTCTTGTTTTGTTTTATTTGAAAACACTCGCATCCTAGGGATTACGGAGCACTTGAACACATCTATGCGCACTAAATTGTCTGAGGTCATAACATTACAAAGGCGACAATGTTGGCAAATCAAAATTTGTTAAAAACATTAGTTTCTAAAGAAGCTTATTGTGTCCTGCTAACAAAAGAAAGTTGCCACCAACCCTTAAGATTAGACTACCGTATTGCCTCGAAAAGTAGCCATCCCTCGATTAATCGCCCCCTCCCCCTCAAATAATCGCCCCTAACCCCCACCCTTCTCGCTATCTTCTCTTTCTTTACCACCTCCCTGTCGACTTAAAAATTGACACCTTGGATAACAAACAAAGCTGAAGTGGAATCTCATCTAGCAAAACTGACCAGTGACGATTCAAGCTCTAACGCCAAGGATATTGAAATTGAAAAATAACCACGGAACAGGATTGCTCCTTACAAGGAACCATTTTTTGAAAACTTATAAAAGCCCATGTTTAGTATATTTGATGTGATTATTTATTTATTTTCATTTAACGGGTAACAAAATAAAATATTTAGGGATCGACTTCCAGTGACCAATATTTGATATAATCGCCTCCCTCGAATAATCGCTCGAGGCTATTATTTGAAGAAATACGGTAATTTTTAACTGCTTAGGGTTTACTTACTGTTCCAGATCCACTAAACGTTTGAGGAAATACCACGTTAGTGCAGCGTGGCAGTGTACAATGTTGTGGCGCCTTACATCCGCTGTTGCAATTCCATTCTTGGCGTGTCTGTGATGCGTTCAGTTTTCCAACCTGATAGGAAATGCCTGTAAAGTAGAAAAAAAAAAGTCCCAATGTAGTGTAGGTATGGGATGGAAAGAGACGGAGTGTTGCTTGAAAAGAAATGAAGAGCGGCTAGGTGTGTGTCTGAGTTAATTTGAAAGGTGAGGAGAGATAAGCAACTTTCGTGTGAAAATTAATTCTTCTTTATTCAGTGAAGTTCAGTTTGAAAGAAATATCACCAAAAGCTGTTCTTTTGCAAGGATATTGTGACTTTTCTTTTCATTTAAATAGCGCTGTAGAAACGTAACTTGGCCTACGGTTCAAGTCTAGAGGGTAATAAGCGACTCTACTTTGGCGTTATAGGGAAAAGAAACATGCGCTTAAAAAACGTAGCCCAGCATTTTTTCACTTTTCATTTCCAGGCGAGGTGTAAAATCTTTGCCTTGTCGTTATGTGAGAAAATTTAGGAAGAAGAAGTTTAAATGTACAGATATTTTTCATTTCAATTGCTCAACATCCGGGGGGTGGGAGGGGGAGGTAACTCTACTGCTTTATTCCTAAGTTTCTTGACCCACTCCGCCTGCCAGTATGACGTTACACAGTAACGGGCAACAGCCTCGCGGTCGCTTGTGCAAATTAGCAAGAGATACGACAGTTATTAGGACGAGCGAGGCCGAGGAAAAGCTAAGAAGCTATCAAATATCGCTATATATCGTTAATTTGATCGAATGTGTGTGAGCTTTGGTTTGCTATAATCTGCTTGTGTAAACCGTTTTGATATTTTGTGTCCGTAATTGTATTTTGTTAATTTGTTTTGCGGGCCGTGTTGCGGGATCGCCGTCTTTTTCATGGGACTGGCAAGGTCATCAAAACTTAAATTTTTTTTTCTCTAAAATAGGCAAGGTCTAGTCTCCAGAATAGGAGGTTCTATTCACAGATCACACATATTAATATTTCATCTATTCTTTTGCTAATTAAACAGGCCTCACTTCATATCAGTCCTTCGAGTGTTGGCCTCTGTTCATCTCCTAATTCTCCAACAAATTCAGTAAAGCTAGTTCGATCGATTATCTACATCGAGTCGACCCGTTGAACCCGAAATAATGCGAAATAACTTCAAAATACACGCTTAGGCTAATTTTCCTCAAATTATTGTATATTTGAATTCATGATAAATACAGCTCCACCAGCCTCAAACAGCGTCTATGTTAGACTAAAAAATCGTTTGCAAATCATGTGTGTCATTGCGGTGCAGTGGTCAAGGAGTTGCTTGCACGTGCAGATAAACCGGGTTTAACTCCCGGGGACACTGTTTTCTGTTTCTTTGTACCGTTTTTATTTTGTTTTTCTGTTTAGTCTTTGTTTTTCCTTTTCGCCTGTTTGACACCGCTGGTCATGCACTTGGATCAATATATATTTTAAGCTTAAGTCCAGAGTATTATTTTGGGAAAGGAATTTCATTTTTTCTTGATCTGCATCACCCTGCTTTGCCAAGCTTAGGGCCAGAAAAAACCACAAGCTGTCAACTTATGTCCCCTCTCCTCTCAAAGAGCTGAATTTTTTTCAATGTTAGTTGACATCATGACAAACAACACACAGTACACCACAAACTGTACTAGTTTACACCAAACACCCACCAGTGATCCACTGGCGAAATTTAAACCTGCCTTTTGTACATCGGCTTAATCATCAATATTATTACCCTAAAATCTCCACTGGGTTTGCCCCCAAAAAATAATTAAAGGAAACCATTGGTTTTCGGGATTTAATTACAGAATTACAGGTGTATGCCCAGTACAGTATTAAAATATGTTAAAGCAACAAGATTCAATGCTCACAGTCTCTCACAAATATCTGTCATGCAGCTTCCTCTTTCAACG